ACTGAAAGCCATGGAAGGCACTTAGCTGAGAGAGAGAGCGAGAGAGAGAGAGAGAGAGAGAGAGAGAGAGAGAGAGAATGAGAATCAAATGGTAGAGGTTTTGGTTTTTATTTTTTGTGCTTGTGGGTAATTTTGAGAATTCTTAAGTTTCTCCATGTTTGGGGGGTAAAGATTTTGAAATTTTATTTATTTCTTTGTTTATTTTTAAGTCTTTTAAACTTTATTTTCTATGCACAAGTGTTTTGCCTGAATGTGTGTGTGTCACCATATGAATACCTGCTGCCCATAGAGATCAAAAAGAAAAGCCTGGATCCCCTGGAACTGGGGCTTTGGATGGTATAAGCGGCCATGTCGGCCCTGGGAACGAAACCCAGGTCCTCTGCAAGAGCAACAAATGCTTCAAACCACCAAGCCAGCTCTCCTGTCCCTTGCTTATTATTTTTGAGACTAGACCTGTCTATGTACTCAAGCTGGCCTGGGACTTTCCAACCCCCTGCCTCAGGCTCCTGCGGGCTGGGACTGCAGGTGTGAACCAGTCCACTAAGAAAGGTTCAGGAACTTGAATTAGGAGGTTAACTGTCCACCATGGTTCTCTGTCTGAGAATGGCCCAGCTGGCGCAGAGTGTGTGGAGGACCTGCTCAGGCACCTGCCTCCATCTTGTTTTCTTTGTGTGTGTTTATTTCTCTCTCTCTGTTCCTGAGGCCGGTCTTCAATTCCTAGTCTTAGACAGATCTGTTCAGTCTCTAGAGTGGCTGGGACTGTGTCCCCGGGCTCCACTTTCTCTGTCTTTTTCTTTTTCCTGGGGCAGGTAAAAATAAAGGCCGGAACTCATGAGCGACAACATTCGGTTTCAGCGCTGGCTTCTGTCTTTGTTTCAGCTCTCTGAAGAGCACACTCTTTAAAATGAGGCAGCCAGTAGAGCTCAATCTCCTTTGGAACTTCCCTTGTGTTTGAAGTTAGCTCTGTCACGTGGTACTTCTCATGGTGTTTGTTTACTTACAGCAGGGCCTTAATTGCATGTGTGACCCTAATGTAGGAAACAGGTACTGAGACGCCATTGTTTGGTTTGCTCTCAGGTCCCTCCTGCCCCAGCATTCCCAAGGCACAGCAGAGTCCTCTAGGCCCTGAGGAACCTGGTTTGTAATATGATGCTCGGAACACAGAATGAGGAGGGACGCGGTTACTGTCTCAGCTGGCTCAGCTACCAAGCCTCTATGGTAGTGGTAGGGCTAAAGCCTCACTGTGGAGCGCAGGTTGGATTTGAATTCGTGACATTTCTGCCCCAGTTGTTCTAGTATTGGGATAGCCTATGTAAACCGTCAAGCTTGGCCCACCAGGATGTTTTTCGGTCACCTCGGTTCTCTGGAGCGGAGTTTGCTCTCTGAAGGAATGTTGTCTGCACCAGCATCTCTCTGAGTATTGTTCTTGCTGTGACAGAAGTTTTGAGTTCTATGGAAAGGACTGAGGTAGTGAGGTGTGTGGAGAATCAGAGAGGGCTTGACAGGAAGAGAAAACCGGTTCTGCTTTTACTTCATTGTGTCTTGTTCTAGTTTCTCAGTTTGCTAAATGTCATTTTATAAATAAAACGTGCAACATTTGCTTTTTTATTTGATAACACACAGTATTTAACGATTTTAGAAATTTTAATTCTGACCAAATATTTAAAGTTTTTCTTTCTGTTATTATTAATTTATTGTATGTGCATGCGTGTTTTGCCTGCATATATACTCTTCATATGTCCCTGGTGCCTGTGGAGGCGAGGAAAGGATGTCCACGCCCCTGAAGTTACAAACTATTGTGAGCTGCCATGTATGTGGTGGGATTCAACCCAGTCCTCTGAAAAGGCAGTCGGTGCATTTAACTCCTGAGCCCTCTTTCCAGCCCCAGCACATAGGAATTTTATGAAAATCATTTACTGGGGGGAGAATGTGAAAAGTTTGATTGCAATGCTCAAAATTCCCATAGAAAATGATTCCGCATGAGTGCTAAGCCTGGGCGGTTCCCTCCCTGTGTCTGAGCAGAAGCCATGATTACTGTATGGGGTCTCCGCAGGGTTCCATCCTTTCCCCAGGAATCACCTGGATTCAGTTATTTCTGTTCTCCTACATCACATTCTTTCGTTTTCTGTGAAATTAGGAAGGACGAGTAGTCTGAAGTGAACTAGCTCAGGCACTTGGTAAATGAGAAAAGTATTGTTGTCCTGTCTACAAAATGTGAACATTACAGAATTCATAAGCTTGCCATTCACCCTCTGAGCCATTGTCTCAGCCCGCCCCCAACCAGAACCATCTCCTAGACAGTCCTCAGTCAATTGGAAAACTAACCACAAAAATTAGGATTCCATTGCATTAATTAGTTCAAGGGCAGTGGCTTCTGAAGTATTTAACTGAGGATATTTCCTTCAGAATTACAAGTGGAATTCTGTCTAATCCTGGGAATGGAGAAGATAAAAGAAAACTGGCCTGGCTGTCCTTCCTGGGAGCAGCTCTGCCTCCTCTCTGTACTCAGCCAGACTCATGCTCTCCACTGGAGGAGCCTTTCTGCAGGCACCTGCGGGGGTGGGGAGCTGGTGTTGGCACTGACCAGCCTGATTGCTGTAAACGGGACTTCTGTTGTCGTGTCTGCTTCCCATCGCTGGGCTTGACTGGTCGGGTGGGCATTGTTACTGTTGAGCTATATAGTCATTGGCAAACTTAAAACCTCACCCCCTCGGCCAGCTAGTGCCTTGTCTGTTGGGGGATCTGGGACCTGTACGTTAAGCTCAGCCTCTGACTTTTAAGTTCTGGCACCACATCTGTCTGTCCTTTTTAGTCTGTGCCAGGAGGGTTTTCTCCTAGACTTGATTTGTAGTCGCTACTGGTAGTTTCTGCTCCTGTCAATGATAGACATTCACGTTCATGAACCTTGTAGGAATGAGCATGTACTTTTTATAAAAGCTCGCTTGGGGACACTGAGTTCCGTTTATTTTCTCTTCCCTACTAAGTAATAGAAACTAATACTGGATAATTTTATACTGTCAGTAACCTTGAGGTATTTCTTAAGTTTTGAACCAACTAGAGTAACTCAGAGCTCTACAAAAGAAGAACACAGCCTTGAATACATGATATGTTCCCAGATGGTCATTGTGTGGCACAAAAAGTCTTCTACTTCACTACTGAGAGGTGTTCAAAGTTCCTGTAAACAGTGGGTGAATACTGGTTATGTAGAGTTATTTGTTCACGTATCCTATAAACAACTGGTGAATACTGGATACGTAGAGTTATATGGCCAAGGCTTGAAGAGGTGTCTCCTCTGTCAGTGAACACATCTTGTGAGGTTTATGCTGTTATTATTTCTATCTACATAGTAGGCAACTCTTCCCTTTCTTGACTCACCCTTAGCCCCTGACCCCATGGTTTAAGTCCCCTCTTACGTGCTGATACATTTTCAAACGAAACCACCTGTTATAGACCATTTCCTAAGTTTCAGACTGGCTGCCCTATAAGGGTAAGGGTCCCTTAACAACAGCAAGCTTCTACTGCCCCTCACCTGGTTTTCTGAATTTCCCGTGTCATCTGCCTACATCCATGCTTATTCGTTAATACTTCCTGGGAACTTGGTCCTTCTCGTGTGCTATTTCAGATGTGTTGGAGTCTATGAGTCACCGGCCAAACACACATAAAAGCAAACATCTCAGCGAACCTAGTGTTGGCTAAGTCCAGGAGATGGACAAGCTACTAACTTGTGAGGTGTTATCTGTATGGGAATCCACCCATCTAGATGGCTGCTTAGCTCCAGCTCATCTTACTGTGTAATGACTGTCAGGCAGTGGTGGCGGCTTCCGGGGAGGACAAAGCAGCCAAGAGAGCAGATGTCAGAGACTCAAGGGCCTATGCTTCTTCAGCGAGAGGAGGGGGTCGGGAAAGGGGGTGACATCAGAATGAGATGAGAGGAAATGCATCTGAATCTGGATCTGTGGGATTCTGCTTCATATATGTGATTTTGGAAGAGTCTCCCTCAACCTTTGCTGGCCTTGCCTCATCCAAAACTGATTTGGGGTGAATTTTGTGGTATTTGTTGGTACAGATCATTAATGCTGGCCGAGAGATGGATGGATGGACTGAACCGAGGGAGTCAGGCAAATAGGGTGATGGAGCTGTGTCCAGAGTATTACAATCTCTCTGTTAGTGCACAGGCTGTGTGTGTGTGGGGGGTATGGCACCAAGCTGCATGAGCTCAGAGGAGGCCTGTGCAGGGCGCACATGGAAGAGGAAGTGCACAGGGGGTTGGAGGGGGCGAGCACTAACGTGAGGCTCAAGCAGAATTCCTCATCTGAAGTTTGGACAGACGTAGAAGAAAAGCAGTCGTAGAGGAAATGGCCTGGACCCTCAAACCTGACGTTAGGAGCACATGGTGCTAGATGTGTTGTCGAAGCAGTAGAGAACAGGAAGGCAGTGCAACCCCCGTAGCTTCTACTGGGGGCGCATCCAGAGAGCTCAAGAGCTGTGCTCATGAATGGGCACAGGCATGCTGCAGGAGGACAGGTTCTCTTGCCTGACTGCAAACTCCATCCTTGGAAAAGGAAACACAAAGAAAGTCCAAGGATTTTCCCAGTTTCTTGTGTTTCCTCCTTGGGGACCTCTTCACATCTCCCTGTGTCTTTTTCTGATCATAGAAAACAGTTGCTCTAGGGTCCATGTTCTGAGAGCTCTTCCAAAGCCTCCGCCATGGTACAGATTCCAGAAAAGAACAGCACCATGTTACACTGTCAGGAAGAGACTTGGCCAGGAGGCTTGAGCATTTGAGGGGAAAGGCTGGCTTTTAGCCTATGCACCTGACCTAAGACAAAGACAGGGAAATCTTGAAGAAGGGGTGGGAAGGACTTGCTGGGGCTCTGTGAGCTCAAAGCTGTGGTGGGTGCTACAATGTGGGAGAACTTTGGCATTGTGTAACAGTTTCCTTGGAGACTGAAACATTCTATCCTGCAGGAAGCTCTTTAGGAATGAAAATAAACAACTCAAAATAGCTTCAGGAAGTCCCTGAAACTGACCAGACTCACCAAGCCCCTCCCTGCCATAATAAACAATAAGAGCTGAACATCTTTCTCAGACTAAGAGCTGAGCTTCAGAGAGGAAAAAAAGCTACAAAGAGGACTCTGAGACAAGACCCACTCACTTCCTTGAAGAAGCAGAAACCTCCAGAGCTGCCTGGAAGAGAGTTAGACCAACTGAGACACCTGGAGAGGACCCTCTCCAGCCAGTTGGGCTGCCTGAAGACTGTGCAGTGTGCTCCAGGTTCGTAGTTCTGTGAGCTGTCAGCCATGCTGGGGTGGGCTCTGCCATACAGCTGTCTTTGTGTCATTTCTGCTTCTGTAAGAAACACCAATAAAATGCACTGGTTCACCAGGTTGGACTTTGGTGGCATCTGTACTTTGGTCTGTCATGGGTTCGCTGTATGGGATGAGTAGATGTGGGTGTTGCATCTTCCAGTAAAAGGTTTGTCACACAGTGATTGGGGATGAAGTCAGTACCAAGGGACTCTCCAGGAAGCTCTGGTAACATCCATGTGTCCGCTGGGTGCAACTTTAATTTTAGTCTGCTTGCTCTCATTTTCTCTAATTTGACACAGCATCCTACCTACTTTTCCACAGCAGACTGTAAAGACAATGGTCCACTGCAGTTCTGTTATGTGCTATTGCTTTGGCATGATATTCCTGGTAAGGCTGGTGAAGTGATTCCAGGAGATTTTCTGAGTAAATCCTCATTTTGTTGTGTCTTTTTAAAGGGGGGACAGTTTGGTCTTGTCTTTTTTATGGTGTACCTATTGCATAAAGTGGAAGATGCCGTAAGGGCTTCGTGGTTAGAATGAGTTTTAGGATTTATTTTTATTAATAAAGTATAGTGACTGTTATTGGTAAAAACACCGTCATAAGCTTCATAATACTGTATAAAGGTTCAGAGGCCCTTTCTGTTCTGTTCTGATGCAGGACTTTTGTACTTTATTTGTATCACGGGGTGGGGGTGGGGGATGAGGCAGTGGGGCAGTGGTCCATTCACTGTGTAGGCAAGCATGACCTTGAACTTCTGATGTTCCTGTCTCTTCCTAGTGCTGAGATTACAGTTGTGTGTTGCCATGGCTTGTTCATGTGGTGTTGGGGGAGTCAAACCTAGGGCTTTGTGTATGCTAGGCAAGCCCTGTGCCTTTGAGCCATACCCCAAGCCCCTGTGTAACCGAATGCATTTTCTGAGCTTTGTGCTTCTGAACCTGGTAAAAGCTTAGTCACAGTGCTCCCGAGCAAGTGGTGTGCAGAGGGGTTTACTCCTCCAGAGAGTCGTGCCCAGGCTGCTCTCAGGGCGTGCAGTCCCTGTCAGTCCTCCACCGTGTGGCTTCACTTCCTTGCCTGCTTATCGATGTCAACTTTTTGGAAAAGCTTGAAGCTGTTGATTGCGTATTCCAATTAGCATAAATTACCCCTGGAAGAGACAGCATTGGCCTCCATACATTGTCCTACAGTAAGAGTTGCCACATCTCCGTGCCCTGGAGGCCCTGAGAGGGGGAGGGGATACAGAAGGTCCCAGAGTACAGAGGACGATTGGTTCAAGGACCACACATGTGTAAGAAAGGGGGGCAGGGCGCAAACCATCTCATGGATAGAACAGAGTGTCTTGATGCCTTTGTGCCTGGCAAGGAGTATGTCCCCGGTTGATACTTTTTGGCTGAAGGTGAATACGCAGATGAGTGCGTCTGTGCGTGTGGGCAATGACGAGGAATTTAAGGAGGCGAAGGTTGGTGACCAGCACACCCATCCTTTTCATCGTCACATCCAGGCCTGCCCAAATGACGCAACCTCTCTCCCACCCAGGGTTCTTGATGTTGGCATCTTTCCCTCTTTCCCCTTTTTTCTTTTCTTGTTTGTGTAGGGGCGGGTGGATGTCCATTGTTTTTCTTAATCACCCTCTGTCTTGTTTTTTGAGATAGAGTTTCACTGAACCTGGAGCTCACTGGTTAGATAAAACTGGCTGGCCAACAAGCCCTAGAAGTTCAGTTCTCCTGCCTCTGTTTCCCCAGCACTGGGGTTACAGGCGCATGGCACCAACTCCTGGCCTTTTTATGTGGGCCCTGGGGATCAAAGTTCAGTCCTCAGGGTTTCCCAGCGTCTCTCCATCCTTCTTTGATTTCTTTCCTTTGTTTTCAGAAGACGATCAAAGGGTAAGGTATTTCTCAAATGGGAGCTGGTGTGTCTCGGTGGTGATGGTGGTATATCTCAGTGGTTATGCCCTTGAATGAGCTTCTCTTGGGGAAAGATCTCAGACTTACAGGAGGAGACATGCAGGTAGCATGGTCTCTGGAAACCAGTCCATAGATTAAATAGGTTGTTTTCTGGACCCCAAGGGATTTATACATGGTGGCCATTCTAGAGGTACTGTCTCTACTCGTGGGATCTAAGCCTTGGCCTGTGTGTGTGTGTCCATAAGTCCTGTGCTTGGAAATTTCTTTAACAAGTAAATATTCTTTATTTCCACTTTTAACCTTGGCATCTATGTTTGGAAACGTTGGTCTGTTATTACTTAACGTTTCTGCCTAGGTTTGGAATGCAGACTGCTGGAAAATGTTAAACAGCAGACCCTGTCAGCACTCAGAGTCCACATTACTCACTGTGGCCACCTGTCCACCGTGGCACCTTCCCCAGGTGTGCAGTACCCTCCTGTCTGCCTGCAGCAGCCTGTGTCTGCCCAGTTGAAATCACCTGTTCTGAAGAAGTAGTTGGCGTGTTTGGGGAGATGTACACACTGCTGGTGCTGGATAATACAACAGTTTATATTACAAAATGATTATATATTTATAGTCAAGGATACAAAAGAGGCAAGGCTCTTACGCCTCAGGAGGAAGACTTTCAGGATTACCATACACCCTCGCTCCTGCTGCTCTCCGCCCTGACACAAACTGAAAAACTGTTGTAAGATAGAGGTTTATGGAGGCTGGTCCAGGTGGACACCAGCATTTTGGAAACATTTATTTTAAGTTTCTCCTTGCGCTATCTAACATAATCCTTACCCACGGCCCTTTGCTCCCTGCTGGTTCATGCCTGCCCCCACTACTTTCTCTTTATTTTTGTAGCCATCTCTGCCTCGTTGTTTTCTCCTCCCCATGCCGACTCCTTTGGAGATAGTCTGTGGAATGCTTACTGCAGGCATAGTCATATTTTCATTCATGTTTCCTAGTCACAAACTTAATTTGTGAAGTTTCTGTTCTGTCCTGTCTGCTGTATTGTGTTCAAGAAACAGAGAGAAATAAGCCAGACTTGTTTTATTCCCATGGATTTATAGCCAAGTATTAGGAAAAGAGTCCTGGCCATGTGTGCAAATACGATTCCACCTGTGTGTAAACAACTGCAGTCTGGTGCCCAAACCTGATCGGCTGAGCCTCAGTCTGATTGAGTCTCACTTGTTGCTGGCACGCGGGTAGGCTGTTCTGGGGCATCCAGACAGAGAATGCAGACACACTCTCCAGTGGCTCCACGCAGATACTCAGTGACAGGCAAACTCTCTAGCCGCTCCACACTGGTACTCAATGGCTGACAATAGCCGCTCCACGCTGATACTCAATGGCAGACACACTCTCTAGCCGCTCCACGCTGATACTCAGTTGCAGGCATACTCTCTAGTGGCTCCACGCTGATACTCAGTGGCAGGCATACTCTCTAGTGGCTCCACACTGGTACTCAATGGCTGACAATAGCTGCTCCACGCTGATACTCAGTGGCAGACACACTCTCTAGTGGCTCCACGCTGACACTGCCATGTTTGCTCCAAGGAACTGTTTTGTCCCTAAGAGTAAAAGGAAGTATTCATGATTTCCAGGCTTTACTTGGAGTCCATGAGGTCGTGAAATTGAGTCATACTGCACTGTGCCCGAGTGGCAGGGCAGGCACTGTGGAGGTTCAAGTTCCCAGCATTTCACATGAGTGAGCACAGCCAGCCCTTGGCAGCCTGCCATCTGTGCGTGTTTGGTAGACAGGTTCCTGAAACTCGACACTTTCCTGTCTTTCTTTGAAAACCCTGCAAGTTTCAGCATCCCTCCAGTGACTGACCCATTTCTTTCTTATTTTTTTTTTAAAGCACTCCTCCTCAGCTGCAAGTGTGAGGTTGTTGTGGAATAGACAGAGTAGGCACTTCAGCACCTCCCCTACCGGCTTCTTTAATAACTAGCAGGCTGAGCTTTGAGCCACAGTTTATGCTTTGGACACAGAACTGGGGCACTCTTCTCTGTGTTTGTTATGCTGAACGGCCCTTAAAACGTGGAGAAACTTCTCCAGGCATTTGTTTTACCAACAAAGCCCAGTAAAGTAGACTCTGGATAATTATCCCTTGAGTTGACTTGTGTAAACAGAACCATAGAGAACTTTGCAGCTGGGAATAGAATGAGCTTTGTTAGGGAGAAGGGGTAGCCTGTTAGTGTTTAGGAGCCCTTAGCATGTTGTGCTGTTAGTTACTCGCCTTTAGTATTCGCCTCCGTGCTTCGTGTCTTCCAAGGACATATGAATATGCATGAATAAGTATCACATCCTGATCATTGAAGAATTGTCTCACTGAAAATTGACTAGGCTTGGAGTCAGAAAGTTCTAGATAGACTGAGGGCTGGAGAGATGGGTCAGTGGGCAAAGCTCATGCCATGCCAGGGTGAGGACCTGACTCACACCCCAGAGTCCATGGAAAGCCAGACATGGCAGCTTATGTCTGTAATCCAGAGTTCCTTTAGTAAGATGGGAGAAGTTTGCAGACAAGCTGTTGACAAGAGACCCTGTATCAAGGTGGAAGGTGGGGACTGATGCCTGAGGTTTTCATGGGACTTCTACATATGTACTGTACTGTAGTACATGCATAAACACACAGAGCTTTTTATGTAAAGAGAATATCTTATTTTGAAGCCCATATTGTTCTATATAATAATTTTGTGGCTCAGTTTAAACTGCTCACCTTCCTTCTCTGAAAGATGGGAACAATAAATGGATGTGTGCTTTCACCCACACATTTTATGCATAGCATGGCTAAAATGAAAATCTGCACTGGATGGGGCCCTGAGCATCCGCTGTGGAACGCCCACCCTTGCCTGGTGGATGGAGTGAACTAGTTCAGGTTTCAGGAAAAGACTCCCCGTTCAAGGACAGTTACTCAGACCTTCCTTCTCTGTGGCTTCTGTGATCACGAACAGCTGCCTCGTAACCACCTCTGAGACACGCCGGACCACTGTGGGCATCTCTGTTTCTTCCCGAGTTCCTTTCTCATTAGGCTGAAATCTATCCTTGTGAATGCCCGGGAGGTTTTCGCTCTTCAGTTTCACAGAGTAACACGAAGCGGTCCGGATTGGAGCCTGCCAAGTCTTAGCAATCTGTAAGTGAGAAAGGGGTCTTACGGTTCTGCTTCCTGCCTCTCACAGTTCACTGTGGGCGGTGAATGTGGCTGCCTGTCTCACGAGTGCTGTGCATGGGTTCAAAGGGCAGCTATTGTTTCTCTTCCTCCTGCCCGGAAGTGGAACAGGGGGCCGTGCAGCCCAGATGGAGATGAATGGAAGTACCAACCTTTTAACTCTTAATGTGAATAACCGCAGTGGTTTTCATGTTATTTACAATGCCTCCTGGAATAAACAGTGCCCACATTTATTGGGCTATAAATAGTTTAAATGCTCAACCAGACCAATAACGTATAAAAATGCAGGCGAGAGAATGGTCTACTAATGAAGACAGATATTTCCACTTTTTACGCAGGGTTTCAGCGTGTCTCCCGTGCCTTGGTGTGACTGTAGGCTCGAGAGGGTTTCAGTGTGTCTTCCCCATGAGCTACAGCATCAAATTCTTGCCACATGGAGCTGCATCTTGACTCATAGAGTATGTCCAGAGGTCAGCTGCTGGAGAGGCAACCCTGACTGGGGAGTACACTGCCCTGCAGTCTGTTCTGACTCTTGTTGCCAGGCAGCAGTGTGGCTTGGAGGCTAAGACTGTGCTACTCAGAAACGTTATTCCCTCCACTTTAAGATGAGCCTAAACCTTTCTCCTCTTGCCTGTGTGTTTTAGAATTAAATGAGTACCCGAGTATCAAGGCTGCTGCTTGGGGGTTATGTGGGTTTTGGAAGATTCCCCAAGCCTCACCTTGAAGGCAGGGGTTTTGTGTGGAGTGAATGAGTTAACTCCCGTGTGGAATTCAGAACTGTGATGGGCAGTTAATGCCTAAGTGTTCATTCATTAGCATTTTTGTGAGTTTTTGAAGGTTGCACGACAATGTGTTTTTAATGTCCTGTGTATTTTTCTGGTTTTGTTTTGCTTTCAGAACATATTTTTATTTTTTTAAATTTATTTATTATATATACAGTATTCTCCGTATTCTGTCTGCATGTATGCCTGCAGGCCATAAGAGGGCACCAGATCTCATTACAGATGGTTGTGAGCCACCATGTGGTTGCTGGGAACTGAACTCAGGACCTTTGGAAGGGCAGGCAGTGCTCTTAACCACTGAGCCATCTCTCCAGCCCCCAGAACGTATTTTTAATGAATAAAAATATGACTTTAGGGAGCTGAAGGAATGGCTTGCCAGTTAAGAACGTGCATTGCTCTTGCAGAGGAACCGAATTTAGTTCCCAGCACCCACATCAGGCTCATGACCTCCTGTAACTCCAGCTCCAGGGGATTGGATGCCCTTGTTTAGCCTCAAGAAGCCCAGCATTCAGTTCACAGAAACTTACACACAGAAATACACATGCACACATAACTTAGAATAAAATATTTTTAAAAAGAGAGATACATTTAGAAATGTGGCAATTAAGTAGTCACACAGGGCATATATCCCCCCCCACACACCTATACCATCTTCTTAAATAAAATTAGTATTTTATTTATCAAGGAAACCTAGAGAATTAATTGGCTTGCCTAATGTTTCTGAGCCTCTTGACTGGTTAAAAATATGGCTTTATTATGAAACTTTAGTTATAACCCTGAGGACTTACTCTTAATTATCTTTTTGTCTTTAAAGCTTTGGGTTGAATGGATTTGTTCTAGGAATGTTCTTTCCCAGCCTTGGGAGTTTGGGACGCTGTGGTGGGAACTAGTGTCCCACCCAGTCTTCTCCTGTACTATTGTTGTCTTGAAACTTTGTCCAGAGCTTGACTGGTATCATATATAAAAGAGGGAATTCCAAAAATGTGTTTGACCTTTAATGGTGCTAAGATTGTAGTACTTCTGTGTCTCATTTAGATTTCAAGGAGTATAAAATGTTGAGGAAGGCCTCTCCTTATCAATGGCCCATTCATAATAGCCCTAGTGGTTTGTTTCACGGAAGACATATCCAGATAAACACACTGACGATGACTTACTGTGACTTCCCCTAATGAAGTGGTGGGGAATGCTTAGAATGTTGCTAGCAATTAGCTTACAAAGAACCATTGAGCAAAGGAAAAAAACCAGGATTTTATAGATGCAAAATTCTTTTTTGTATTTATTGTTTTAGTATGTGAAATCCAGGTTATTAAACAATATCTTCTTTTCTTAGCTAAAGTTAATTTTCCACTTTTTAGAAGCAATTATTTGCATTTTATGTATGTGAGTGTTTTACATGCGTGTGTGTATGTGCAATACATGTCTGTAGAAACCAGAAGAGAGCGCTGCAACCCCTAGAACTGGAGTTACAGGATGTTGTGAGCTGCCGTGTGGGTGCTGGGAACCAAACCCCAATCCTCTAGAAGAGCAACCAGTACGTTTAGCTATTGACTCATTTCTCCAGCCCACTGAAAAGAAGCCTCTGAGTGAATCCTGGCTCTTCAGGCCCAGGAACAGTTTGGATTAACTTGGGCTTTGCTGATCTTAATTTACAGCTGGATCTAGTCATAAATTTATAGCCCATTATTAAATAATTCCATTGTCAACTCCATTTGAAAATTTGATTATAGAGGGCATGTGGACTTCCCATTTTCCTGGTTAGTGGTACAGTGGACGTTGTGGAATATTTTGTTTGATGGATGTGGTGTATTTCTTCACTTCAGTTTTATATTAAATATTTCTTGAACTATAAATTCTTAATTTCTAAATATTTACTTTTATACAATATGATAGTCCTTACGTAACCTTTTTTATTTTCAGATGAAGAAGTAACTTGTAAATTTGCAAAGAGACAAAGTTGGTGTTACCTGCTAGCCATTGGGTTTTATGGGATTTTGCGTTAAGGAATGCCAGATTTCTATGTAGGGATGTAATGCTTGTGCTCTGCAGAGTAGAAGGAAACCATCAAGAGCAAAATGGTGTGTGCCAGGGCATTACTCCTTAACCCTGGACCTGTGAGAGTCAGGAAAGCTCTTTGCTTTAACAACAGGTTCTTCATTTGTTAGTGGGCGTAGTTGTGGGCAAGCCTGGGAAGGTTGTAGTGGGTAACAGTGTAAGAGGTATAATACATTTTCAAGGTCAATGATATTTTATTTTAAAATCTGTCCATTTATGTTTAATGTGTCAAAGCAGCGCTGGACAGATAGTTGGGAATCTATGTTTTTCTGGGGACCTCATTGTCTGAAGGTTACCTAAAAGACATTGAAATGACCCGAAGGAATACCTGACTTCTGATTCTAAATAATTCCTCCCCAGTAATTTTTGTTATGGTTTTAGTGTTCATTTTCCATTTTCCTGATATTTTTCTTTTTAATATCTTTGTGCATTTAGCTTCAAAATAAGTTACAATAGCTGGTTAGGATAGGTAACTCATAATTTCCTATTCCTTAGTTTCTTTCTGGACTGCCTGTCTTGCGTCTAAAGTGATGGTATTTGTGCATGTGTTCTGAAGCTGTTCCCTTTATGAGGAGAAAGGAAGGGATGTGAACCGGTGTATGGTGGACTGCACATCTCCCCCTGCCCTGTCTTCACCTGTAGGCTGGACCTTGGCTTAGTGATTTTCTCTCCCCAGGATAAAGGGGCTGTGCTCCAGTTCAAGTTGACTGTTACTGTGGGGATCAGTATTTGCAGAAGCAGCACACATTTTAATGAAATATAAAATTGCATGGAGAGGTACTTTAAACAAATACCTAACGTTTTGTTCAATTTTTTTCTTTTCATTTGTCTTTGTAGGTGCTGCTTTTCTGAAGTTGCTTGCGGGACTTCTCACCGTTGCTGCAGAAATAAATAGGTAAATGCCATCAAAGGTCCTCATTGTTTGCTTCTGTCTGTTGTCTTTTCCAAGACAGGACCTTGTTATGTAGCCCACGTAGTCTTGAAACTCTCAGAAATCCTCCTGCCCCCTCCCCTTTGTGTTCTAGGACGGCAGGTAGGGGCCATTGTCTCCGGCTTGATGCTGTTATTGTTGGAAGTATTTTCCAGGCAGGAAGCATTTTTTGAGAAAGGAATAGCTTTTTCGCATTTCGCATTTCGGAACCTTGCCTGCTATCTTAGTTACTTTTGTATTGCTGTGATAAAGTGTCATGACCAAAGCGACTTGTAAAAGGAAGTTTATTTGGCTTACAGTTTCAGAAGTTAGAGTCCATGGTGGTGCAGCAAAGACATGACAGCAGCAATGACTGAGAACGTGCATCCCGATCTGCAAGTAGGAGGCAGAGGGAAACAAATGAGTCCTGCGTGAGCTTTTGAAACCTCAAAGCCACAATACTTAATCCTTCTCAGACAGTTCCACCAGCTAGGGACCAGCATTCAAACATATGAGTCAATTGGGGGGGGGTTATTCTCATTCAAACCACCGTGCCCAGTAAGTACTAGTTTGTTAGACTTGGTGTACCCCTTGGGTAGCCTCAGTCATTATCAAGAAGAACTCACTTATTGAAGTTGAATAAACAGCATTGAATCAATTATTCAAATGTTTTCTCCAGTTCGGATCTGCTTTGTTCTGTCCCCGCTGAGGAGCAAGTTTCAGAGATCTGCATTGTGGGAACAATTTTTCTCTTTTACCCTCTCTGTGGACCGTTTCAGCTTCTGTATCATTTCTCCCAGAAAGGCGAAGTGAACGTAGCCAATTTAAATAACCCAGATTTATTACTTGATGATCATTCACACAGAGAGATTGCCAGAAGGAAAGTTGGAAATGATTCAGTCACAGGTGATTAACGATTGGGTAGATTTTAATTTGTAAAGGTCACCTTTGGAAAATATTAGCAGTAGAGGTTGAATATAACCCCCTTCAGTACGCATTCAGGAAAATCAAGGAAATGGGTAGTTGAATAACTTACTAAAGATTGATCCAGCTATGTTTCTCAAATGGGAGCGGCCTGTTGACCTCTGTTCTCTAGGGGTCCTGTTAGGGTTATAACCTTGGCAGTGAGCTCAGATCAAAGCAGCCAGGGCACAATCCGGATTCCCATCCAGCTGACGACTATCCAGTAGGGTCTGCTGCACGTGGAGGTTCATACAGGGCATTCCTACAAATGTCATCCCACTTGTAGGAAAGCCATTGTTTTGGCTTTCAGATTTTGAGAACGGAAATAATTTTCCCCGTGCTCCATTTTGGGACACTGACTTCTCCAAGTGTTACTAGTTTCCGCCAGTAGTGCTGCTCGGTGGGCTGGGGTTCCTTGTGATGAGAACTGCAAACACTTGTGCGTTGTGAAATGGTTTGAGCAGCAGCCTGCTCGTGGGAGAGCAAGGGCGAGGTGGTGTCCTGGGCACGGTTAGTGTTTGCTCCTTATCAAACTGCTAATTCTTAAATATCCCTTCCGTATTTATTTAGTGGAGATGGGAGAAGCTGATTTTCTATTAATACAAATTATTAAACCAGGCATGTTAGTAGATACCTGTAATCACAGGAAGTGGAGGCAGGGAAGAAGAGAAGTTCAAGGTCATCCTTGGCTACAGACTTAGAAGCTAGCCTGGGCTACTTGAAGCCTGCCTCAAATATATGTATAAACACCAAACACACACACACACACACACACACACACACGTACGTACGTACACATTGTTCAGATCCAGAGTGTCACGTTAGCCAGGTGATGGGGTTAAGATGGGAATGGACAGTATGGCCTGCATTCATTCATAACATTCTACAGGGAAAATAGGCTCGACAGGAGCAGTCTGTGCTGTGAGAAAACCAGTAAGTTTCACTCTGTTCAGAGGGACCATCTGCGTGAGTTCCCAGCAACAGGAGCCAGACCATGCTGCCTACCACGCAAGGAGTCATTTGAAAACCCTGGCCAAGTGCCCCACATTTTCCATGTGTTCTGCTGGTGGTTTGGTTTCCCCATTGTGAGATGTCACCCTGGACCACTGCCGGACTGGCCTGTTTAATCCTGCCCTGGGGAAAAGCCAGTTCCATTTGGCAGAAACTTGAGGGGCCAAGTCGTGTTTGCCCTTGAGATTCCCCATCTGAACCAGCCTCCTCTGTGTCCTTTATGTTAGTTTTGATTGTGAATTCATCGGAGACCAACAGGGCAAACTGTCGTTCAGATCTCGGGATATCTGCATTGAGGAGAAATGTGGTCCTACTTCCTGTTTCCTACGTTCTGTCTACGTGATAGCAGGTTTCTCTTGAGACAGAAAGAACGATTGCAGTTTGAGGCAACGCTGGACATCCACTGTCCTCAACATACATGCCCCTGTACTGGACATACATGGGCCGAAGTCCCCGCGGAGGGGCTAGGTGGCTCTGTTCCCAAGGCGGTTCCTGAACTCCACCTCTGTACTTGGGAATGGCTTCTTCCTTGTTACTGGAAGTAAATAGGTAGTCGTGTATATCGAGAAAGTCAACCAGTGTCCCCTACACGATTCCCTGACATGGTGGAGAGTTGTTTAGATGTGGAATCTGAGAACCAATACTCCCAGCCTCTCACTGAGACTCTTTGGATGAACTTCTCACCTCCCATACTCGTTGGTAGAGAGGCAAGGCATCTCTACTCTGCTCTGCTTCTGCCCTGAGGGAATTGTGGGAAAGCTTTAAAGAGGGCAGGTTCAAGTATGTGGCTAACATCAGAGGACTTCTATTGGCAGCCCTTAAAACAAAACAAAACGAAAGTCAGACCTTCCTGTACCTTACAGCCTGTCTACCACAGGACGGTTTGTAAGTAGGACAAGGGGCTGGTGATTGAAACAAAGACACGGGTCATCCTTGAAACAAGAATGCCCCTTTATTGTGTTCCAGGGCAGCTTATATAGGGCTCTCCTTGACTAATGGCCATGCCCTAACTCTGGGGACTTTTCATCTCCAAGCCCACCAGAAACCACTCCCCTGCCATCAGGAACTCATGAGGGTCTCGTGCTCAGAGCATAGGAAAAACAAGTTGTTTACTCTGACAAGGAAGGGGGTCACAGGAAATTCAGGGTCTGAGGGTCTGCAGTCCCCAACACCTACCGGGCTTGAATTCCTGTTTATTATAACTGTGTAACCTTGACCGAGTTCTTGACACTGTCTAGTTCTCGACACTGTCTAGTTCTCCCTGTGTCTCAGGCTGTTAGAAAGGCAGTAAGGTGCAGTCTGTATGCCCAGCAGGGTGTATGGAACAGACACCTAGTAAATCTTAAAAACAGAGCCATAGCTACATCATGGCGCAGGACGGAGGAAGAGTCATGACCAAAAAGTGTCCACAGTTTAAAGTCCCTTGCAGTACCTGGTTATGCTCATTTGGCCCAGGGCAGATAATCTGAATAGAGGGAGAGTGATCAGCAGGATGCTGTCTCTGGAGATGGAACAGTGAGATTTGTTCTTCCTGGGGTTTCCTCCTGGTTTTAACCGAATGAACCAGAGAGTACAAGTGATCAGACCGGCGCTGGTTGGTCGCCATGGTAGCCACACCGCACACTCGGCTGAGCCCTTGAGAACGGCCAGTGCCACTGAGGCACTGAATTGTTTGATTTTATTCACTTTTGGTTACTTTAAAAGTTAGCACTGATGGTTCTTATTGGAAAATCTTTCAGTGCCTCGAGAACAACTTGGGAAACCGGAGCTGGCTTCTCAACTGAAAATTTTGTGACGAATGTTTCCTTAGCTGGAAGAGTGGCTTTTCCTTGTGTACTTTTGGCTTACACTACTGGAGTTCTAAACTTGCAGCCGCACAATGTAGAACTCATTTACATAATTAATCTGGAAGTCGTTAGAGGAGCAGAGAAGTGTTTATTTAGTAAGCGAGGGTATGACAGCTTCCTTCCTTTACTAAGCGTAAATTGAGCCAAATATATCATTTCCATGGCAATGATAGTCTTCTTCATGGTTTGAAAAAGACTGTGAAAATAGTGAAATACATAGGCGTTTTAAAGTTCTGATTTCTCTTATTTCTTTTAATTCTTATTACTATTTTATAAGAATGGGTTTTTTGACTACCTGTAGATCTGTGCACCACATATGTTCCTGGTACCCAAGGAAGCTGGGAGTGGGCATTGGGGTCCTTAGAATTGGAGTTAACACACATTTTTGAGCCACCTTGTGGATGCTGGGTATCAAACCTGGGTCCTTTGGAAGAGAAGCCCCTGTTTTTAACGGCTGAGCTCTCTCTCCAGTGCCCCATCCCCCAACTTCTGTTAGTTTGAGTTAATAGCTTGCTTTTCCTCTGATAAGGACCTCTGGCTCCTAAAGATTCCTAGGGAACCTCCCCTTCTTTCCATAAAAAGTAGCTCTCCTCACCAAACTGTGACTTTAAAGACGAAGATTTGAACCTTTTACAGCAGCTCTCAGCCTTCCTAACGCTGGGACCCTTTAATAGTTGCTCATGTTGTGGTGACCCCAACCGTAAAATTATTTTGCTACTTCATAACTGTAATTTTGCTACTGTTATGAATCATACAAGTTTCTGATGTGAAGGATATCTGATAGGTGACCCCTGTGAAGGGGGCATTTGACCCCCAAAGAGGTCACACTCCTGGCTTGAGAAAGGCCATTTTAGGATATCCTTGATGATGTGCAAGTTAGCTACCTGACTGATGGCAGCTGAATGATGGCGGGGTGTGGTATCTGTGCATTGTGGGGTACCCAACATTATTGTCTGATGTATAATATGCGCTCAATGAATGCTGGGAGGTGGAGGGGTAAGTGTGGACTTAATGTAAGTTCCAATTAATGAGTTTTGCTTTGTTTTGCATTGTAATGTGTCGAGAATCAAATGGAGGGCCTCGTGCCTATGAAGGAGATGCCAAAGGACCTGACCATTTTAGAGAATGGCCTACTTCAAACTTGGGAAGCCATAGAGATCTTCT